TGAGATTCCCAAGGTTAGCCACAATTTGTTTTGATCCATAAAGTCAAATGCCTTTGCACAGTCAATCACAGACTTTCCTCTGATACTCAACAGAATTATATATATTTAGTGGTAACTTTGCCTGGTTTTGGTATTAAGACATCATATTGGTATTTGCTTCATAGAATTAAGTAGTATTCCTCTCTTTTCTATATTCTGAAATAGGATGAGTAGAAGTGGTATCAAGTGTTGTTCTCTTAGTGTTTGGTAAAAGTCACCAATAAAGTAGTCTGGACCAAAACCTTTTTTTGGTTAGTCTAGTATTGATTTTTCTATTTATCTGCTTTACTTATCTTTTTCTGTTTGCTTTATTACTTGCTTTCCTCTGGAGACTGTAGGTTTCAGTTTATCCTTTTCTAATTGTCAAGAGATGCTGGGTTTAAGGTGTTGTCTTCCTTTATTTTTGACCTGTGCAATTATCACTTGAACTGTTTTTAAATTATCTTCAGCAAAATTTTACTTGTATATGACACTAATGATAATGTTCAATAATGTCCACTTTCTTTAGGATCTCTTTTCTTTGGAGTGGCACAAACACAGATCTATTCTAGCTCATCGACTAGGTAGAAATTGTACAAATTTCTTGCTATAATCAAGTGAGTTCTTCCAGTACTATATCTATTTGCTGAAGTGTCTCAGTCCATAGTCTGCCAGCTTCTGGAGCCTTACTTTTTTGCCAAAATCTTCAATGCAGCTTGGAAGTCTTCAGTATAATAAGCTCTTGGTCATTTGCTACTTCTTAAAATGGCTGAATGTCAACAAAATTTTTAGTGACTCTATATACTTTACATGGTTTGTTTTTCCTATAAAGCAATACTTTTGTTGGTTTGTTTCCTTTTAGGAGGGAGATAATGTTATCTCTCATTATAGAAGTGCAACTGGGGTCAGGGTCAGGTCTGAAGTAAAACTCAGTGTTAAGGTTACCTATAGGAAAGGGAGCAAACTTAGAGAGAACAAACTTGTGAGTTACAAATAGAGGGGTTTGGGGGGTGTTTCTTTCAGGTTTACTGGGGGAGAGGGTGGCG